TCCCAGAGGAAATACCACATACCCACATCCTCTTGTCTCGCTTATCTGGGCCACTAATAGTTTCAGCTTTCGGGTGTTGAGGGGCCAGTTTTTTTTTTTTTTTTTTTTTTTTTTTTGAGGGGTTTCCCTGTCCTTTGGCTTTATAAGATCAGCACTTCCTTTTCCCCAGATGAGTTTTATTTTTTTAATTTTCTCCATGAATTCAAAAGGGACCTGCAATTTAGCGAGGTATTTTGCTTTTAGCTGTGCGGACAAAAAGTAGTACATTATCCCCTGGGTTAAAGGGATTGTAAAGTATCCAAAGTTTTTACCTAAAATAAAAAAATTTACACTTGCCTGTTGTGTACTCCTCTGAACCTCCTTGTGGGGTCCCCCGCCAGCACTCTTGGCTCTTCCTCTTCTGTGTTTGGGCCCCATAGCTTGCCACGTGCTGTGGGGGCCCAATCCCAAGCTCAGCCTCACCTCCCATTCTCTCCTCACAGGATTTGATTGACAGCAGCAGGAGCTGACTGCTCTCTATCAATCTGCACTGAGACCAGGGAGAACGAGCACAGCACTAGATTGATACAGGACTCTGGTATTTAGGGAGGTGAAAGGGGAAGCAGACAGTGGGAAGTTTTTTACATTAATGCAGGTAATTATTATTATAATACAGTATTTATAAAGCGCCAACAGTTCGCTCAGCGCTGTACATTACAATGGGAGACAGAACATGCGACAGTACAATAACTATACAATAATGATAATGTATTTAGATAAAAAAAACCTTGCGACTTAGAACAATTTTAAAGTTAGACTTTGTCACCTCTGATTCTCAGGCTTGCTCCATATGGTCCAGGTACAATGACTGCTGCAAGATATGCTTTTTGTCCAGGGATTAAATTAAGGTTCCAATCTACTTTGTCCCTCATGACAATCTACTTGCCCTGAGAAAAAAAAATTTTTTTTTTTTAACCAAAACGTGAGGTGCTTTTAGGAATGTCTGGGGCTTTTAATATGAAAAGGGGCTTCATGGCAGATATTTTTAACATTTGTGCTGTTAATCTCCTCCTTCCCCTCCCTGCCTCTCTCCAGCACTGCACCCGGGGGCCTAGCAGGGATGGGAGAGACCTTGCAGTATAATGTGCACCGATTGGGTGCTTGTCAGGAAAGGAGTGTCCAGCTTATCCTTTGTCCCTTTCGCTGCCAGAGCCGTCTGTTTTTTTGTACAAGTTTAACCACTAGCCTACAGGGCACTTATACCCCTTCCTGCCCAGGCCAATTTCCAGCTTTCAGTGCTGTTGCACTTTGAATGACAATTGTGCAGTCATGCAACACTGTACCCATATGAAATTTTTTATAATTTTTTTTGTGAGATAGAGCTTTATTTTGGTGGTATTTAATGACCTCTGGGTTTTTTTTTTCTTAAACCCAAAACCACTGAAAATTTTGAAAATTGTTTCTTAGTTTTTGTTATAAAATTTTGTAAATAAGTGATTTTTTTCTCCTTCCCTGATGTGCGTTAATGGGGTGGCACTGGTGGGCATTGATGGGCGCTGTTAGGCGGCATGGATGAGCACTGAGCTGGCACTGCTGGGGCTACACAGATCATAAGGGCACACTGATCATCAGTGCTCTGATGATTTGTGTACATGTTCTCTCCGAGGAATGCCGATTACCGACTCTCCTCTCCTCACGAGCTGTCAGCCTGACACCTCATGGGGAGAGAAATGCCAATAACTGGCATTTCCCTGTTTTACACATGATCAGCTGCGATTGGACACAGCTGATCACATGACCGAGCCAACATCTTTGGCTCTTTCCGTAGATTGGTGATCTGCTGTGTCCGAGGGACACAGCGCACTGCCGATCGCTGCGCTCCAGGAGCCGCGCATGCACGGTTAGAATGGGAGGACGTCATATGACGTTGTCCCATTTGAGAGAACCGCTTTGCGTCCATCATATTACTATATGGCGGGTGGGAGGCGGTTAACCACTTCTGCGCCACCCTATAGCAGAAATAATACTACAGGGTGGCACGGTTGTGCCAAATCACGTGTGTATACACGTAATTCATGCTCCTGCAGTTTTCATGGGCTTGGGGGCTGCGTGTGCCCTTGCTGACCCATGGGTGCCGTGATTTGATACCCAAGGAATCCTCTAATTTGTTCCCTCATGCCTAGTGTGGTCAAGTGTTAGTGGAACTGGCAGGATATCAGGGATTTCACACAAATGAAGCAATACAAATGGCTGTTTTCTAAGTGTATATATCCTAAAAGCAGAGAGGAATAAAATGGTTGTGTGAATTTTTTATGGTAATGGTTTATCAAACTCAAATTTCCAGCAAAATAATTACCCCTTATACTCGCCTGCTCTGTGCAGTGATATTGGGCCCAGTGATCTTGGCTTCTCCTCTGTGTCCCCATAGCAAACCGTTTTTTATATGGAGGGGCAGGCACACAGCCGCACTCCGTAGACTTACAAGTGGGACTTGGCCGCCTCAATGCTGTTTTTTTTTTTTTTTTTTTTTTTTTTTATGGAAGGAATGCATTGAAATAAATTTTTAGCTTTTATTATCACTTTAACATTCATTTTAGTGGACAGAAATGTGAAATATTACCTAATTTTTGGTGAACTGCAAAAGATAACTTCCATGGAGTAGATGCCAAATAGATCCTTTAAAATTTTGTGCACCCGTGAAATGACTATGGAATTCAGTATCAAATTTTTCTAGCCGATACTCTAAAAGCCCGTACAAGGTCACCAGTTCAGCATTAACCATGAATAATGTGCCTAGAATTATTGCTCTTACTCCAATATGTGCAACAAGATGGAACACATGTAGCGCAATCAATTTTGCACATAAGCACTTCTGACATGCAAGTAATTGTAATTTCTAAGAATTCCAGAGAATATGCAGTGATGACTTCATGGAGGTGCTCTGAGGAAAGATTAGCAGAACTGAGTGTATTCTCTTTTGAGAGGCGATTAGGGGAGACATGATCACCATGTAGAAATATACAGTGAGGAACAGAAGTATTTGAACACCCTGCGATTTTGCAAGTTCTCTCACTTAGAAATCATGGAGGGGTCTGAAATTCACATTGTAGGTGCATTCCCACTCTGAGAGACAGAATAAAAAAAAAAAAAAAAAAAAAAAAAAATTCAGGAAATCACATTGTATGATTTTTAAAGAATTTGTCTTGCACTGCTGAACATAAGTATTTGAACATCTAAGAAACAGCAAGAATTCTGGCTCTCAAAGGCCTGTTACTGTGCCTTTAAAAAGTCCACCTCTACTCCACTCATTAATCTAACTTAGTAGCACCTATCTGAGCTCTTTAAAGACACCTGTCCACCCCACAGTCAGACGCCAACTACTACCATGGGCAATACCAAAGAGCTGTCAAGACACCAGAGACAAAATTGTGGACCTCCACAAGGCTGGAAAGGGCTACGGGGCAATTGCCAAGCAGCTTGGTGAAAATAGATAAACTGTTAGAGCAATTGTTAGAAAATGGAAGATGACGGTCAATCTCCCTCGGACTGGGGCCCCATGCAAGATCTCACCTCGTGGGGTATCACTGATAAGAAAGGTGAGGAATCGGCCCAGAACTACAAGGAAGGAGCTGGTCAATGACATGGAGAGCTGGGACCACAGTTTCAAAGGTCACTGTTGGTAGAACACTATGCAGTCGTGGTTTCAAATCATGCATTGCACGGAAGGTTCCCCTGCTCAAGTCCTCACATGTCCAGGTCCGTCTGACGTTTGCCAATGACCATCTCGATGATCCAAAGGAGGCATGGGAGAAAGTCATGTGGTCAGATGAGACCAAAGTAGAATTTTTTGGTCTAAACTTCACTCGTCATGTTTGGAGGAAAAAGGATGAGTTGCATCCCAAGAACACCATCCCTACTGTGAAGCATGTGGGGGTGGTAACATCAAGCTTTGGGGGTGCTTTTCTGCAAAGGGGACAGGACGACTGCACTGTATTAAAGAGAGGATGAATGGGGCAATTTATTGTGAGATTTTGAGCAATAACCTCCTTCCCTCAGTCAGAGCATTGAAGATGGGTCGTGGCTGGGTCTTCCAACATGACAACGACCCGAAGCACACAGCCAGGATAACCAAGAAGTGGCTCCGTAAGAAGCATATCAAGGTTCTGGAGTGGCCTAGCCAGTCTCCAGACCTAAATCCAATAGAACATCTTTGGAGGGAGCTGAAACTCCGTGTTGCTCAGCGACAGCCCTGAAACCTGACAGATCTAGAGGAGATCTGTGTGGAGGAGTGGGCCAGAATCCCTGTTGCAGTGTGTGCAAACCTGGTCGAGAACTACAGGAAACGTTTGACCCCTGTAATTGCAAACAAAGGCTTCAGTACCAAATATTAACACTGATTTTCTCAGGTGTTCAAATACTTATGTTCAGCAGTGCAAGACAAACTCTTTAAAAATCATACAATGTGATTTCCTGCTTTTTTTTTTTTTTTTTTTTTTTTAAATTCTGTCTGAGTGGAAATGCACCTACAATGTGAATTTCGGACCCCTCCATGATTTCTAAGTGGGAGAACTTGCAAAATCGCAGGGTTTTCAAATACTTCTGTTCCTCACTGTATGTCTCTACCTTTTTAGTATTGGATACTGGTAAAGGTTTAGTATCTGGCTGATTGACATAACTCACTGGGGAACATTTACAAAAACTGGAGCAACCGGAATTTGGAGCAGCTGTGCATGGCAACCTATCACCAGCTTCTATTCATTTTTCTTTTTTTTTTCTTTTTCTTTTTCTTTTTTTTTTTTTTTAAAGCCTAACAGAACAACCTGAAAATAGCGGATTGAACATGCACAGTTGCTTCAGATTCAGGCTGCTCCCAGTTTGAATAAATTCCTCTGTTGATCACCAGTCCAGATGATCACCACATTCATTGCTCAAGCCTCATGCTTTTATAAGTGTTAATTGTTGGATATTGACTCCATTTTAATGTTTTACACAAGGCATATACCCTTTTTTTTCTTTTACAGGTACAGAATCCATACCCACTGCTTCTTCTGCTACTCCTAATATTGTAGAAGACTCCGCATTTACAAAACGCATCACAAATCTCACAACTGCTAGAAAAAACCAGAGTGAAAATCAAAGTGAATTGAGTGTAAAAACAAGTACTCATCCACATGTCACCATTGTTTCCTCGGCACCAACACAGAAAAACACCACTCAGGTGGCAGAGAATGGGGGGATTTCCACAATACCTTTCCTCAGTAAATGGGTAAAACTAAAAACTTCAGCTGATCATACAGATGAACCAACGACTGACAGCCTGATTGACACAAAACATGTAGTTGGCACTAACTTGCCAAACACAAAGGAATATGATGAAGATGACGGCTATGGCCTTGAAAAGGAAGATGACATATCCAAAAATAAGGACACCTTAGACAGAGCTGAAACAAATTACAAAGAGCCCGGTGATGTAAACTATGATTCAGATTCCAATGATTATGAACTTAGACCTGATGAGAACAATTATGATCAAGACAGTCACTTCTTTTTGCACTTGGTTCTAGTTGGACTTTTAATTGCTGTGGTGTATATTGCTTACCACAACAAAAGAAAGGTAGGTTTTATTTTCACCTGTAGCCAAAATAGGTATGCCTGCTTTTGAAGCACATGTAAAATCAAGAAGAAAAAACAAACTAATTGAAGTTCAACCCTTCCTTAAATATGATGGCTGCATTAATTATCTTTACATTTTTTTTTTTTTCTACCTTGTTCTACCTGGTCTTTTATATGGTGACATTGCTCGCTTACCTAACCTATGAATAGCACATTGTGGTTTACACACACTTTATTGCTGATTGTGTACAAGATGGTCTGGATTTTTCGAGTTTATATTGGAACCCAAACTTCTACAGGTCAGAGTTGTGTTGCCAGCCAGATTAAAGCTGTAATTTCTTTATTTAAACTGTGTTCATGCTGTTGGGCTGTGCTTTAATGCATTATTAATGTCACCCCCCCTATCCACCTTGGCAATGGATGAGTGTTGCAGCACATGGCAATACACCACCATGCATTGTGGTGCAGTGCATTACAAAAAGGTACATGCACCTTTTATGGTGCTGTAGGCAGGCTGCCCTTTCTCATGAGTAGGCTGCCCTAGCATAATGCATGGTACCATGTGATATAATCAACTGCACCCTAACAGTGTGGACCCAGCATTAAAATGTTATTAAACCCAAAAGCAAGCATATTGCAATTTATCAATTCTTAGATGTGATAGCTTCCTTAATTTTCTTATTTAGGCTTTCTTTCCTTTTATATTCAACTGGTTAGTTTAGCCAGTAGATCTAGGTTAGTTTAGCCAGGAACAAGCTCTCCTGCAAATTTATTAGTTTGAGTGTTGAGACAAATCATTTACCAGTGACTGGGCGCTTACAATGGTCAACTTTTATTCTTGTAAAACCTTTATCCCAGAAGAAAATGTTACTGTAACCTCAATGTGAGCTGGGGGCATACATTTTTAAGTAAATCCGCTATCTCCTATACTCAGACTGACAATGCTGCTGTCCAAAGGTGCCCTTGTGCTCCTTCATCCAGAATGAGAGCACTCTTACAGTAGATGTTACAGATCAGGTGAAAACGGGGGGGGGGGGGGGGGGGGAGAGACTAATGCAGACACCACATTTAATGATTGGTAAGCGGCAATATATTACATTTCTTAATTTTGCTTTATGCTCACATAGCCACCTAGGCCCCCCACCACCTCTACAGTGAGAACTGAGCAATCAAACACTGCTGATTGCTTAGAGCAGAGGGAGAGAACTGAGCAGAGAACCAGTACTGTCAGTCTCCACCTAGTCAGCCCCTCTAGTGCTCACTGGTGCATTAGGCAGATCTCTGAAAGGCTGAGCTAGGTGCAGTAATGCTTCTGGGTGGATCCTAACCACCACCATATAGGGAGTTTGAGACTAACAGGAGGGGGTCTGCTCTCTTTCCCCTAAATCTAGGCTGTTATCTTCACTAGGATCGGATTTTGACCATGACCCCACTGTTACCACCTCTACAGCAATTCTACGGTAGAAATCCCACCTGCCTCCTCTCTAGGTACTCCTGCCTTTTAAGAAGTCCATCCACATTTGTGTCCAAGAGACATCTAGCCTGGTTTTCTCTGTACCCCATGTTTTCTCTAATACTGTCCCTTCTGTTCTCTTCTGCTTGTTTTCTTCCTTCCTAGCCTTAATCTGATCTACTGCCTTGGTTTTTGTTTTAGTTTCCTCTAGCAACCCCAGCTTGGTTGTTTTTTAAAGGGTTCCATATCTGTGCCTATCTATTCTGGGATCTTAGCTAGTTCCAGAACCCATCTCTCATAACCTGGCAATGCCTTCTGTCGTACTCCATGAGTAGGTATTTTCCGGGTCACTACGATTAGTGTATACTCTGACAATCTCCTCTCTCATGAGGTCTAATGGTAAAAAAATTTACAGTAAACTCTCTGGCTTTTGAACATGGCATGGAGCAATTGTGGATCCTGGGTTAACACTCCCATAGTCAATGCTTCCTTGACTGACAAAATAACACAGACAGCCCCTTCATCCCACAAACCAAGGGATTTGCTGATCAAAATAGTATTTGTAACCAGCATGGATTTATGAAGAACAGTTAGGCTGGCCATACACTGTACAATTTTCTGTCCAATTTCCTTTAGATTTACCTTCCACTGTGTAGTGCAAGGGCCTGCCTAACTGGATACAACTAAAAGTGTTTGGGTTTGACCTATTATATGGTTTTTGGTGAATCTAAAGCAAAAATCTCAAGAAAATTGTATAATGTATGGCCAGCCTTATTGCAACCTTATTATAATTTAAACATTCTACGAGGAGGTGAGCTGTAGTATAGAGAGGTCTGTGGATGTGATTTTATCTATATTTTGCCCAGGTACCCAGGTTTAACTTGTTTCATATTTTTTGCCCAGTGGAATGCACTGATGAATGCTAGATGTCTTTAAAGGACTCACACTTTTCTTCAGTGTTTTGTTGCAAGAATGGGATCCTGTTTAGCATCATGTAGCATGGAGTACAGCTAAGTAAAGTTGGCTTTTGAAATCTGGTGTTCCTATCCTACACCTATAGTTTACAGTAAACATAATTACTCTGAACATAGTTTCTGAAATTATCCCTTCCACATGTCCATGTGCATTAATACCTCAGCTTCCAGTCATAAGCCATCAGGCCCCAGCTATGACCACTAACCCATCTGTGACCTGGTACATGGGTTGATCTTTTATTGTCCTTGTCCCACCTCCCTCAGTGCTTGGATCTTGGCTAAAAAACATTCACACTCGCCTAAGGAATCAGTTCCCAAAGTGCATTGCATGCCTTTAGAGCAGAACTAAAGTAGCCTTTTTATTGCAGAAAAGTGTTACTAAACCCAGGACCCTGCATTTGCTAAATAATTGTACTTGTGTTGTGTATTGTGGGAGACCAGATGTAGTAGTTTTATATTTACTAAAATACCTTATGTATGTCACATGCACTCTCCCAAGAAAAAAAAACTTCTCTAGCAATACACCCCAAACTGCTGGGTGACTCCACACTATATATCTTGGGAGATGAGGGGGGCACTGGAAGGAGGAAAGTATCAGAGAAGACAGGATCAAACATCCTTTACACAATGCAGAGGATTAACTCTGGTTCCACAGAGTATAACAAGCATACTTTACTGCATGTACAGACTGATTTTACTGTTGTGGGTTTAGTAACACTTTAAGGACAGGGGGACCCTTTTATATTGCATGGAAGGCTTCTGAGAAGTGATCACTTTTTTCTTAGTTAAAATTTTAAAATTATTGTATCCTTGTAAATGACAGCAGCCTAAATGTCTTTTTGTTCTGATGCAAAAGCATAATTGCAAGTTTAATACATTAACGCAGCCTTTTTTCAACCAGGGTGCCTTCAGGTTTCTGCAGGGGTCTCGTCAGGAAAAAAAACTTTAAAGTCCCTACAAAGTGTACACAAGCCAGCAGGTGGATGAAGCCTGCATTTTTAGTTGCACAAAGCCACAGGTTTTCATTGTGCACCATTATAACCTTACAGATGCTGGTTAACCCTTTGACGCCGACGTCACACAAATATGCGGCCTCACGGAACTGGGCTTTTGTGTACCTGTCTGTGCTGGGAGTGTGCTGCACTGCGTGCTCTCCGCACAAGGACCGTGGTGTCACTGAGAGCCCCGGGTCCCGTTTCTAACGATTCCGGGGTCACATGATCGCTGTGATGGCCTCTGATTGGCTATCACAGTGATCAGTCACTGTGCAGCCCGGCCCCCTTGTTTTTTCTCTATGAATGGAGAAGAGAGATGCATTGATTGTAAGCTCCAAGGAGCAGAGCCCTCCTATCCCTCTTGTATTGTTGCTGTATTGTCTCCCGTTATGTTGTAAAGCGCTGAGCAAACTGTTGGCGCTACATAAATCCTGTATAATATTAATAATTATCTCTCCAACTCCTGGCATAGAGAGTTTGTAAAAAAAGTAAAAATAAATATTAAAAAAAATACCTTGAGCAAGGTTTGATCTAGTTCAGTGCCAGGGTTATCTGGGTCAAAGGTCAGGATTTACAAAAAAAAATTGGTGTCGGTATTTTTTAGGTAAACAAAGCCAAAAACAAAATGCGCACTATTGTTTCTGGGCTGTGCTACGGGTACAAATAACATACACATATATGGTATCGCTGCAATCTCCAAGAGCTGGAGAATTTATTTTGGGTGGTTCTTGTTATGGTAGTAACACACAGCTAAATAAAAAATTTTTTTTTTTTTTTTTTTTTTTTTTTTTTTTTTTACTATTTTGGGCCAGTTTTCCTTTGTTAATAAAAAAAAAAAAATCAGAAGATATCAATTACCATTTACCACCAAATTAAAGCCCAATTTGTGCTGAAAAAAAACACGGTATAATTCACCTGGATGTACAAAGTAGGTGTGATTATGTACGGTTGCAAAATTGTGCTTAGGCATTTAGATTTTTTACCCTCAGGCGTGAAGGGGTTAAATCAATGACATAATTGATTCATAAGGAGGATGTTTGTCAGCACTGGGGTCACAAGGATGCTGTGCAGGCACCAGAGAGGGATAAACATTAGCTGAGTGAGGGAGGAGAGAAACATTGGCATACTAGTCAGTACCAGTGTGCAAAGGTATTTGCATTGTAAGAATAAATCGCCTCTAATGGTGGGTGTCCTAAATGTGTGGATGTTGCATTAGGTAAAACCTATTTATTTTTTTTTTTACATTTTAGAATATGGTGCCTTGAGATTGCCTATAATTTTTAAAGGGGGCCTTTGACTGGAAAAAGGGATGAGAAATCTGCATTAACATATATACTACTTTTTTTTCAGATCTTCCTTTTGATCCAGAAAAGAAGATGGAGGGACAGCCTGTGCTCAAAGAATGCAGGTTATCGTCGTCTGGACCAGAATGTGAATGAAGCAATGCCTTCCCTTCAAAGAACCAATAATTATAAATTTTAAGACTCATTTTTAAGCATTATTGACTTTCCCTTGTTTTTTTTTTTTTTTTTTTTTTTTTTTTTTTGGGGGGGGGGGGGGGGGGATTCATTGCCATAAATATTTTGGACAGTTGATTAGCTCAGATTAATGGTTTTTTTTTTTTTTTTTTTTTTTTTTTAACAGACTTTTATAATCTATGGGGAATTCACTATCCATTTAATGTCTTGTCTTGTGAATCTATTTAATTTTAGCAAGGATCATGCAATTTTTTTTTTCTTTTATGCTTTCGAGTGAGTGGGTGTGCTATGTGTTAATGCGCTTAGCACTGGATTAGTTTGCAATTCGATATGTCCAAAATGAGGTAAATGGATTTTTATACTTTCAAAAATCTAGGCTTACAATGGAGTCTATGGTCAAAATGTAAAATTTTATATTCCTTTCCATGTTTTGTATTTCAACTATTTCTAGCCTACTCCTTTTTTTAATCTTTATGTACATTCCTTCCTGAAAACATCTTAGTATTCCTCAAGAATCCTAAACTCTGATATGGCTCTTGAACTGGCCTTAATCGGTGGGATTAGTCTGGCAAAGTGGGAATTCCGAGGCAGGCGGCATGTAGCCTGGAGTTCAGCTTTAAGGTGCAGGGCAAAGTAATAGGTGTCTTTAGGGCAGCATTTGCTTTTTTTCTTTTTTCCCTCCTCTCAATTTAGGGCTCATTCATACATGGACATTGAAGTAACACATTGTATAACGCATGTGGTAATGCACCCTACCTATGTACGAAGTTTGTTACTGTGTACTGCACTGCAAAAAAGTAACATGCACTGAATTTTCATATCTTGAACTGAATTGCATGCCATGCAACATGAAGCAAGAATTGCCATGAGATGTTTGTGCAATCAACACCATAGTTAGTAAGAATACTAATATCTAAAGCGACTTTCTACCCCACAGCATTTCCTAAACTGCTGAACGCAATCATTGCTTTTTATATTGTGTAGAACCAATTTAAGGTGTCGGCTCAAAACTCTATTTTATTTTTACATGGTTTTTTTTTTTTTATGGTATTTTTTTGCATCAAATCATTCAATTAAAAAAAAAAATTGTATTGGTGTGGACTCATTTTGGTTACATGGAATAAACATTTTTGTTCCTCTACTGCTCATGAAATTGTATTCTGTCTTGAGATGCCAACAATGCATACTACAACTCATTTTGTGTGCCAGAGACCTAAATGGTGCTTTTCTTCCCCCTTTTTTTTTTATATATATATATATATATATATGGATGGTTAATTAAGGTGTGCACTTTGTTCTGTCTGGAAGTATGTACAGGGATGTACAGGGAGGAGTAGTAGAAGTATATGGATGAGAGGTGTCGAGGATAGAGCAGCAGGAAATTGGTGCCAATGAGGCACGCAGAGGGGAGGAAGATGGGGCAGGATCTTCAGGAGAAAATACACAGGGAATGAAGGGTATGTGCAGGAGAGGTAGGTGACTGTGTATGATGGTGAACAAAAAATTTTGAAGAGATAAAGGGTGCAGAAGATTGACAGACAACTGTACAGTGAGAGGGGGGAAAAAAGCTGACCATACACTAGTAAAATGTAGTTAGAAATTTCTTGTTTCATTTGTTCAATTCTCTAATCTGTCCCTACCTGCTGGGTAGTAGTCACATGAAAGAGCAGGGTGGAAATTGTTTCTTGGACAAATGCCAAGTCAAAAACCTGAGGGTTTTTTTTTTTTTGTATGAATGTTCACACAACTGTTTACAAGTATACTAGTGTATGGCCAGCTAAAAGAGTGAAATGTGTTCTAGATGTGGATAGAGTACTCATTGCTTTGTTCAATGCATAGGTGGTTTATCACAGCCTAACAAAAATCTCTTATTTGGTGCTCCTGTTCTGGGAGTTTGTGAAAAGATTTTTGATTATCAACTGGTTCTTCTGTTACCTAGTTTGTTTTTGCATACAAGTGTTTATGTACTTCCAGCTGTAATTTTACATTGGATTGTAAAGTATGTTAACAGTATTGTGATTGTATAGGTGTGTGAATATTATCACTGATATTTCATTTTTGCAGATCAAGTACTATTGAGGTTATGGCTTAGTGTTTTTTTCATGCTACAAGGTGATTGGTCTCACCAAACCCATGGCATAAAAACCTCTCAAATGCTGCTTTGTTTTCTGTATTTGTAAATATACTGGTTGATCCTGCTGGTTTCTATTCCCTTTTGATCAGGTCCTAATACAGTTGTTTGGGATGCTGCAGTACAGTGGTGACTGACTACATGTGACTACTTTTCATTGTATTTCTTCCCTATCACATCTAAGAAACCTATGTCAGACAGAAATCTGCCCATACCATGTTGGTGCCAAAAATTATTTGATTTCAAATATAGGCCCTGCCCATACCCCCCCCGCTGTAGGACCTAAGTCATAAATTGACTCTCTTCCTCAGGCTTTTTTTCAACAGTGGACATGTAGCAAACTAACTAAACCTAAATGAAAAATCCATTCTGATTTTTGTCAACTCACAAAAATGTGAGTGAGGGATGTTTCTACTTGAATTTCTGCCTTCTGCAGCATGCCACCTCTAATGCCTGTGAGTATTTTACCTCCCAGCAAGCAAGGTACTGAGTGTAGTAGTGTGCTTAGCCCGGTGCAGCATTTACAGGCTTCCTCAGACCATCCAGAGCACTCACTATGCACCATTACAGGTCTCAGCCTGGCCAGAGTACAGTGTTGTTTATTATAGCTGGTTCACACAGAATCTTGTGCACCTGTGTGTGGAGAAGGGACACCAAATTGGAGGAGGTGCTCAGCTATGAGGAAGGACTAGAGCAGAGGTCTCCAAACTTTTCAAACATAGGGCCAGTTTACTGTCCTTCAGACTTTCAGGGGGCTGGATTGGGCCAGCAGGGGTAGAAAATGGCACTGACCCAGCATCAATAAGAATAAACATTACCTTAGGGTTGGTGGTCAGTAGGAGGAGGAGTAATGCCCATTGTTGGTATTAATGGCATAAATAATGCCCAATCATTGGTATCAGTTGAAGATCTAGTGCTGCATTGTTGGAGCCAGTGGGAGGAATACTGTTGCATCATTAATATTAGTGGGAGAAATAGTGTCCCATCATTTGTGTTGGTGGCAGGAATTATGCCCCATTGTTGATGGAAGAATGGTCCCCAAGGGCTGTATAAACACAAACAAAGGGCCGCATCTGGCCCTCAAGCCATAGTTTGGACACCACTGGACTAGAGGAACTGAATTTATTCTTTCACGAGAAGATGATGGGGGGGGGATATGATCTACATAGATAAAGGTTTATATAGTGAACTAGGTGTAAAGTTATTCACTCCAAACTCACTCATCCATGTCTTTATGGGCCTTACTTTGTACACCTGGTGTGCAGTCATGTTGGAACAGGAAGGGGAGTTCCCTTCACTGGAAGCCAAGCTCAACCGCACAGCTTAATCCCCCCTCCACCAAACTTTACACTTGGCAGTGCAGTCAGACAAGTACCATTCTTCTGGTAACTGCCAAACCTAGACATGTCCATCGGATTGCCAGACAGAAGTGTGATTATTCACTCCAGAGAACACAGCTCCATTGCTCTAGAGTCCAATGGCGGTGTGCTTTACACCACTGCATCGAATGCTTAGCATTGCACTTAATGTTAGGGTTGGATGCAGCTGCTTGGCCATGGGAACTCATACCATGAAGCTCTGCTGTGCTAATCAGAAGGCCACATGAAGTTTGGAGGTCTTTAGCTGACGACAGTTGCCGACTTTTGTGCACTTCAGCATGTGCTGACTCCGCTCTGTCATTTTACGTGGCCTACCACTCCTTGGCTGAGTTGCTGTTGTTCCCATTTGCTTCTACTTATAAACAGTTGACTGTGGAATATTTAGTAGTAAGGAAATTACACGGATGGGCACAGGTGGCAAACTATTATGGTACCATGCTTGAATTCACAGCTCCTGAGAACGATCCATTCTTTCACAAATGTTTGTAGCAGTCTGCATGCCTAGGTGTTTGATTTTATACTCCTGAATCCAATGATTTGCATATACGCTGCTCAAAAAAATTAAAGGAACACCTTTAAATCAGAGTATAGCATTAAGTCAACTAAACTACTGGGATATTGATCTGGTCAGTTGAGTAGCAGAGCGAGGTTGTTTCAGCTGCTTTGGTGTTAATGAAATTAAGTAAACTTGCACCCCCTGTAGGCTTGAGGCCCAGCTTAAGGTACTGAGAGGTGATGGAATTAATATTCATGCTGCTCAGTATATGCCAAGCAGATAAGGTGGCACATACAGTTGGGGGATAAATTATAAGGTAGAGTACAGGTGCTTAAAAGCATGAAGATATGCAAGTAAATCTTTGCTCGATGTTAGAGCTTGTTCTAATTCACTCCACAGGGATATGGGTTTCTCCAAAAACCAGTCTGTGCTAAAAAGGTAGCAAGGTAATGGTTCGTATAAATATGTATGACCTAGACCACTTGCAGATCTTTGCTTAATTCAATTTACAGAATACACAGTGTGCCTTTCTATCTTGCTATAGGACACTGTAGTAACTGTCAGGAGGTAAAGTATACCTTAGCTACTGGAATAGGGACTGTTCTGAAAATATTAAGTAGTTAGGGTCAAGCCAGCTTGCAGCATTTAAGATGCATCTTGTTCCACAATTTGCTTTAGGATTATCCACTATTGGTAAATAATTTGCTGAAAAAATAAGGTCTTGTGTTTTTGGAAACACAGTACCCACATATAAAATACTTCATCTTTCCCAGTAAGTAGACAAGCAGTTCGTAACTTCTGTCTATAGCAGTTCTAGTAGTTCTCTGGACCTGACCAAAACTTTGATACCAGAATGTTCCCTAATATAGGACGCTAACAGCTCTATTAAAAGATTAAATAATAGGGGTAACAAAGGGCAGCCTTGCTGGGTACCATTAGTAATTGGAAACGGGACAACAATCCTTATGGAGAGGTGTATAAAGCCAAGATGGCTGAAA